TTTTTTTGGAAAAAGTTTGGTCGACTTGGCTTAGTAAAATTTGTATATAATTGCCTTAATTTTTAGCAATTACTATCTTTTCATAATTAATGTCCGCTTCTTGTCTTTTAGTAATTTGTTATTTAATTGAGAAAAAAAATCAGACAAAAGTGAAAAAGGTAGTAAGCGTGCTTCTCGTAAAAGTATATAAATTCAAAGAACTAATTTTTGGTAATTTCCTGCTGAAAAATGCTTTCCAAAATTGTTTCTCACCAAATTTCTTTTTCTAGTTTTTCGACTATTGCTTTTTTGGGTTTAGTAACCGGACGACGGGGTTCAAATAAAGCACAGCAATCAGAGTATTTTTGGCAAGAAAGATTATAAGTATCTATTTTTTTCGCCTGAGTAATAATTTCTTCTTTGCTATAAGTAAGTAAAGGCCAGAGAACTAATTGGGAACTAATTTGATAAATAACGGCTAAACTTTCTAGGGTTTGGGAAGATACTTGGGCTAAACAATCGCCGCTGGCTAGGGCCGGAATAGTTAATTTTTCGGCTAAGCGATTAGCCAAACGCACGAACATTCTTTTTAAAATAATTAAGCGGTATTTTTCTTGGCTAACATGACGAATTTCGGTTAAGAAAGACTGAAAGTTAACTAAATAAGTAGTTGGTGAATAATTATTATAAGGTTGTAATTTTTCCTCTAATGCTAAAATTTTTTCCTGGCCTTCGGTCTGATAATAAAAGTGGAGATAAATAACTTCGCAACCTCTTTTCATCAATTGGTAAGCTGCGACCGGTGAATCAATACCGCCACTTAACAACAATAAAACTTGACCGGTGCTGCCAACTGGCAATCCTCCTAACCCTTTTTTTCTTTCGGCAAAAAAAAGGATGAATTGCCGGTAAATTCGGATATAAAAAATCTTTTCGGGACTGGTTAAATCAACTTTTAGATGATACTTGCTTTTAATTTTGCCGCCTAATTTTTCCCGCAAAACAGCCGAAGTCTCAGGAAAAGTTTTGTCATTTCTCTTAATATCCAACTTAAAACTTCTAAATTCAATAGGATAATAATCAGCCAAATTTTCCGCGAATTGGTGCAATTCCGTCAAATCACTAGACAGATAGTAAGTTAAGTAAAAAACGCTAATTCCAAAAACTTTTTCCAGGAGGGGTAATAATCGTAATAATTGATTTTCCTCTTTGGCACTAATCATTAATTGGTCAAAAAACCTTTTAATTCGAAGATTTTCCAAATGGTTTTTTTGGCAAACAATAATAAGGTTGGTGACTAATTTTTGAATAAAAAAACGTCGATTTTTCCCTTTCAGAAATAATTCTCCGTAGCGCACGACCACGCATTTGTCAACTTTCATTATAATTGTTTAGC